GAGGGAAGGCACACAGATTGTCATCTGTCACTGGAGGTATAGGGACGGTTACTGGCCCTCAGCGCCCTGCTCAGAATGGCCCCAGCGGCAGAGGGAGGTGTTCAGTGACCCAGGGATAAGGTCAGCTGAGGGGTCGGCGTGTCCGTAACGAGGCCCCTGCTGGTGGAGCCTGTGCCGGTCAAGGCCGATGGGGCACGAGCCGCATGCCGAACACGTCGGGCCGACGCGGCTCCCAGACAGTGACTGGGAGGGGCCCGCCTTCGGGTCCATTGCCTGGGGTCCGCCTCCTCGGATGTGGGTGTGAGGAGCCCGAGAGGCTCCGCGTGCCCAGGCAGTGGCCTAAGAAGGTTGGCCAAGCCTCCCCCGGTGGCCATGACCACGGGCGCTGACCCTGCAGCCGAGTCAGGAGGACATGGATCTAGGTGGCCTCCAGGCACTGTTGGTGTGACATTCAGCGTGACACAGAGCAAACAGTGGTACAAAGGGTTCTGTGTTCAGGTAAGCCAGGGCCTTGCAGGAGCTCAAGGTAAAGAAAGAGCCGGAACTCAAACATGGCGTGACCTTTTCTGGAAGCAACCGCTTGGCAAACGCCGGGCCCTCTGGAGGCGGCCCTGCTGCCTGGGGCCCTGAGATCAAGTGCAGGCTGTCTCGTGCCAACTGGCTGCAGTGGGATCAGCTGGCCTGAGTTCAAGGTTCCTGTTGAACCCCGTCCCGAAGGAGCGCGTGACCCAGATAAGGGGGGATGGGGAGCCGAGTGGATCTGGTGACGTGGCCCCTTCGGCACGCCACCACCAACCGTGACACACGGTCCTGCACGGATGGTGCCATGGGGCGGCACGGGGCGGCCGTTCTGGGCTTGGGGGCGGCAGAGGCCAGAGGGATGCACGGAGGAAGATGGAGACAGACCGGCCCGCACTGGGCATGGAGCAAAACTAATACAAATTATTAATCTAAATTAGATAGGAGGGTAAATATTTATTTGGAGTGAGGGTAAAACTCCACAAAACTGCACCCTAGAAAAGCTGAGTACCAGGGCGCCTGGGTGGCTCGGACGGCTGAGCGTCCAGACTCTTGACTGTGGCTCAGGTCATGAGATGGAGCCCCGTGTCCGACCAGGTGCTGACAGTGTGAGCCTTGGGATTCTCTCCCCCATCTCTCTCTGCCTCTCCCCTGCTCACACTCATGTTCCCTCTCTCTAAAAATAGACATTTTTAAAAAATAAAATAAATAAAAATGGAAAAGCTAAGTACCACACACATCACCAAATCCAAGGAAAACCGTAAAAATGTCATCAGTCCCTACAGGCGCGTCTCCAGAGAACGTCACCGACCGGTGCCTCCCAGCTGCTGCTCCCATGACCGCTTCCCGTGACTTCGACTTTCTGTGTTTCCTGTGGCAGGAAGAAAATTCAGACTCCGCCCCAGTATGGGCACCAGAATTCGCTCGTCACTGCTGGTGGCGGGACGTGCTTCTTGTCCCCACGGTAGGGATTTGGCGCCGTAACAGGAATCCTGATGGATTCTACTTGGTGTGGTTCCCGTCCACACGGCCTAGCAGTGTATGGCGCATTCACACGGGCCGTGTTATCCGGCAGCTGCAGATAAATGCAGAGGGGACCTGCATTTAGATGGGACTTCGATGGGAATGACTGCTTACAGGCGTCCGCAGCAGGGCGCGGAAGACCCAACAGACTGGCCCTGGCTTGGTGCACAGCGGGCTTTCCCTCCCCTCACTCCCACCCGCTAATCTTCAGTGCTGTGACCTACAGCCGACACACCCGGTGGGGACCCCAGCTGCATCAGCACGGAGGACAGTCGGGACGTTCCTGAAAGCCAGCACCACAAGGGGGAGCCAGCAGAGCGTAGCTCTACACTAAAGGGACCGTCACACCATCCCACTGAGCCCCAAACTGCCCGTGCGCCCCCCCAACACCACTGAGAAGCTTCAGCAAATGTACAAGTTCTTTTTTTTTTAAATATTTTATTTATTTCTAGGAGAGAGACAGAGAGAGAGAGACAGCGTGAGCAGGGGAGGGTCAGAGAGAGAGGGAGTCACAGACCAAAACAGGCTCCAGGCTCCGAGCTGGCAGTCAGCACAGAGCCCGACGTGGGGCTCGAACCCACGAACCGCGAGATCATGACCTAAGCGAAAGTCGGACGCTCAACCGACTAAGCCACCCAGGCGCCCCAGCAAATGTACAAGTTCTTATGACCAGGGAGCCGTTCACCTGCACGAGGCGGGGGGGGGGGCCTGCAGGGTCCGGACGAGGCCGCAGAGCCTTGGGGTCCCGGGGCTCGCGTGTCTGCCGGAGACTGCCTGCCGCCCTCCTCGGGGGTTCAGGCCCCGCAGCCGTGGACGAGAATTCCCACACGCCACGTGCTAGAGGCACCTGTCCGCAGGCAGGGCTCTGCGGTGGGATCTCCCTTCGTCCCCCCCTGCGTGATGCCGAGCGCCCCCCCTCCCCGGCTGCCCCTTCTGTCCGCCGCCCTTCACACCCTTTGCCCACTTTCTCTCCAGCGGCCGGTCTTTTTTCTAGTTCCTTGGCAGGAGCTCCCTGCACAAAGCCCGAGCTTGTACACACTGCGAACGCTTCCTCCTGTCTGGCTTGCCTTTACCCGTTGTATCTTTCCAGCCTCTTTTAGGATCTCCTTTTCTTTCCGGCTTTCCAAAGCTTGGGTTTCGTAGTTGGGCCTCGCCGTCTTCCGGGAACGGCGTGTGCGTGGTGGCAGGCGGGGACGTCGGCTTACGTGCCTCCTCCACGTGGTGGGGCCCGTTTGTCCAGCACCCCCAGAGGTTCTCGCCGCCTGCCGGGTACACCTGCGCTTCCGATCCTGCCCGGCTCTGTTCCCGGGCCACCTCCTCTATCTACTTGGTCTGTTGGTGTAGCCCTGTGACGGCGGCCTGGTCTCTGAACGGCCACGGCTCCTTAGAGACCGCTAGGACCCGCCCGGGCACGCCTGCCACCCGCACGTCCCCAGAAGTTTTCAAGCTTTCCCTTAATCTACATGTTTGGATTTCATCATCTTTCTGATTTTGTTCATCAGCCTTGCTAGGAGTTTTTTTCAACGCATTTTTCCCACAGCCAGCTTGGCTGCCATTGGTTTCTCCCAGTTTAAAAATATCCCAGGGGCGCCTGGGGGGCTCAGTCGGTGAAGCGTCCGACTTCGGCTCAGGTCATGATCTCACGGCTTGTGGGTTCGAGCCCCTTGTCGGGCTCTGTGCTGACAGCTTGGAGCCTGGAGCTGCTTCGGATTCTGTGTCTCCCTCTCTCTCTGCCCCTCTCCTCCCTTTTTCAAAAATAAATATTTTTATTTATTTACAAAATATTCTAGTTCATTAATTTCTGTCCTTTATAATTTTTTGGCTTTTAACTTCTTTGGGCTATTTTTCTTATTTCTTGATTTAGACGCTTAGCTCATTTGTCTTCATTGTTTTGTTGCTGTTTAATAAACACACCCAACGCTCTAGACGTTTCTCTCTGGACGTCTTTAGCTGCACTGTCTTCGTCCATGCAGCTGCTATAACAAAAGCTCCCGTGGCAGATGCTGCTTTCTCTGAGCCTTGAGGCTGGAAGCCCGAGATCACGATGCTGGCAGGTTTGGTGTCTGGTGAGGGCCGTCTTGTGTGTCCTCACCCGGTGGCGGGGTGAGGCAGCCCCCTGGGGTCTCTCTGCAAGGGCACCACTCCTATATCTGGGGACCCCACCCTTAGGACCTGCTCGCCCCAGAGGCTCCTCCTAAGAGCATCACAGAGGGGCTAGGAATTCAGCAGAGGAACGTGGGGGCCACAGCTCGGGACCTCACTCTTGACACCCAACCTGCTTATAGTCTTTCTCAATGTTCTGTATTTTTCATGTGATTTCCTCTTCAAACCACGAGCTGTTTGGGAAGATTTTTAAGTGTGGATTTTCTTTACACACCACTCTGTTCTTGCAGCCAGAAAGGGCAGATTCTTTGTATTGTTTCTTGAAATGTCCCGCGTCCCCTGGTATGTGGACAATTTTTATGACTCTTCCGGTGCGAGTCTTTAGCTGTGGGGGCGGGACTTCCTCATCCTGGTTAGGAATCTTCTGCGCCCGCCCAGACCTTCGCGCCTGCGTGCCCCTGCTCCCGACAGCCAGGCGGTAACGTCTCCTGATGGGACTGTGAGCTCTTGCGACCGTTTGGCCTTTTGTATTTCGACACAGCCTGTCCTCAAGTTCATGACTACGGTGGTGGATTTTGCTCCTTCAGCTGTTTGGATGCTGGCTCCCTTTACATCCCTTCTAATGCTTTTGCCTTAAATTGTGTTTGGTCCGTCCTGTTCTGCTGTGACGCACGGGGAATCGGACGTGATGTCGCCAGATCAGGGCGTCATGTCTCCGTCGGCCGCGTTCCCCTGCCTCCTGAGGTCGCGTGTGCACATGTGTGTGTGCACGTGTGTGTGTGCATCACACACACTCCTATTTCCGCTCGTCGCTCATGGTTTCCCTTTTGAATCTCATCTGTCACTGCTCTGCACGGGTGCCCACCCACACATCTCGCCATGAGTGTAGACGACCCCTTTAAACACACACACGGTCATGTCCACACAGATCCTTCTTTCTCGATGCTGAATTTGAGGCCAGGTAGCCTGCCCCAGGGTACGGGAGTGTCCGTGAGGCCGAGCCCTAGGCTCTCTGGTCGAGCCCGCGGCCTCTCCCTGACAGCCGGCGCGTCAGCCCGGGCTCGCTTCCCTTCCAGATCCCATCTGCTCCTCAGTATCTCTGGCTGGCGGCACAGGCCTGACAGGTGCGTGGCGGTTACCCAGAGTCGTTCAGTCCTACAATAATGGTGTTTTATCCACCTCACTGCAGAATTGGCCACGGTTGATGGCTGGGAAGGGAGTGGTAGACTATCTCTGCCAAGTCTCCTGGGGGACCTGGGCCGTGGAGTATAAAGCGTGGCTGTGCAAAGGGCCGGGACAGCCTTTGGGAGCCCCAGTGAGCACCTACCGGCAGCCGTGAGCACACACGCCCGGAGATGAAGGCCCTGCTCCTGACCATCGGCCTCGGCCTCGTCGCCATCCTTCAGGCCCAGGACCCCCCAGCTTCGGGCAAAGACACCCCGGATGTGAGGCTCAGAGGGGACAGGGTGGGCGGGAGGGGGCACAGGGAGAGGCAAGGCGTTTTAGGGTCAGGCACGACCCCGCCCCTGAGGAAACGGTCAGACGGTCAGCGTGTGCCAGAGGAGCCTGGGGGCAGCTGTGGTCCCGGCGACCTGCATCGGCTGGCTGCTGGCCCCAGTGCCGGGTACTGGCTGGGGAGGGCAGGGGGCCAGGATGCTTTGTGCCTCCAGCCCCGGGGTCGGGGAGAGCCTGGGGCTGCAGAGGGGAGGGGGCCTGGGGGGGGGTGGTGTTGGGCTGTGCCCTGAAGAGAGGGGTCCCTGTCCAGGTGTCAGGAAAGTGGTACCTGAAGGCCATGACCGCAGACAAAGACATCCCCGTGAAGCCGGAGTCGGTGACCCCCATGACCCTCACCGTCCTGGACGGGGGCAACCTGAAAGCCGAGATCACCTTTCTGTGAGTCTCAGCCGCGGTGGCCTTCACCCCCCTCGGTACCCGCACAGGCGCACGTGCACCGGACCACGTGCCGTCCCTCTCCGCCCCTCACACTCGGCTCGGGGCGGCTGAGAGGGGCCGCTGCCACGGAAGGTGCCTCACTGGGGGGCACCTGAGCGGGGAGGGCCCCCGACGCTGGGCTGGAGGGAGGCCCCACGTGGGACCCTGTGGGCTCTGAGGGGCAGTACCGGCTGGGGGGGTGGCACGCCCACGTCTGGGACTTGGGGCGGCAGACCCCAGCCGCCCACTCGGCGCCGGCGAGAGGGCCCAGCCCAGGCAGCCTCGCCACGCGGCTTCCCGTTCCAGGACAGACGGTCAGTGCACGGACCTGCAGCTGAGCCTGGAGAAAACCTCCGAACCCGGCAAATACACGGCCTGTGAGTCCTGGGGCCTCCGCGGGGCGCCCCCCCCCCGGCCCCCAGGGGAGACGAGGCAGCTGACGTGATTCCAGTGGAGACTCCCTCCCAGCCTGAGAAGCCCCGCTCCTGTCTGACCCCTTAAATGCCTCCCGCCTCCTCTCCTCAGTCAGTTTGCCTTACAGACATGAGCCCTTGACCCCAAGAGCTGGGTGTGACAGACTTGTCCCGGGGGGACTAGCCTGTCCCGTTATGGCTGTGCCCGTGTCAGGGACGAGGCTGAGCTCCCCACGCCCCAGCCTCTTCAAACCCTACAGCCCGGAACCTCTCCTGACCCAGCGTGTGGGGGGCTCGGGCCCGAGTGTGGAACCTGGGGGGCCCGGGGCATCTGGGAGCGCGTGGGGGCTGGGCAGCCCGCTAAGCTGGACCTGCATGAGCTCTGGCGCTTTCCGCAGACGGGGGCAAGCGTGTCGTGTACATCCGGAAGGCGCCGGTGGAGGAACACTACATTCTCTACTGTGAGGGCGAGCTACACGGCAAGCAGATCCGGATGGCGAAGCTCGTGGGTGAGGCTCACACCCCCCGGGCCCGCAGACCCTCTCCTTCCTTCTCCTGGGAGGGGCCGCGGCCGGTCTCCTTCCCCTGAAGGGACACACTCATCCCCGTCCCCAGAGCTGGGGACTCTGGTTCCTAGCCTGGGTCTCTGCAGTGGAAACCTAGGAAGAACACAGGGACTCGAATGTCACAGACGTCACTCGAATGTCACAGACGTCACTCGAATGTCCCCTGCTGTGCCTGGGGACAGCTCCACCTCCGGGGCTCCCCCGGGGGTGGAAGAGCACTGTGTGCATGGGGGCCGGCGTGGGAGGGAAGCCCGCCTGCCGGGCTCCATTCCTGGAGAGGTGGCTCAGGGAGGCGTCGGGGACTCAGCACCTTCCCTACCCGGGAGGGTCTCCTGAGGGCCCCCCGCGGCCCTGAGCTGTAGAAGGTCAGGGCAGTGGGGACGGCGTGGGCCCCAGGACCTGAGAGGCGGGGGCGGCTGGCCCTGAGCCCCCGGGGGACCCCTGGTGGGGTGTGCTCATGAAGAGCGTGTCTCGTTCCTCCTGGGTCGGCGGCACGGACTCCAGACTCCCGCTAGGCGTCCACAGCGTCCCGGCCCCGCCTCTCCGGCCGCGCTCCCCTCCCGGCCCGGGGCCCCCGGTCCAGCCCGCACGCAGGTGCGGGGCTTGCGCCCAGGCTGGGGGGCCACGCCGGCGCCGCCTAGTCGGGGCCCTCACCCTCGAATCTCCCGGTTTCACCCACAGGAAGAGACCCTGGGAACAACGAGGAGGCCTTGGAGAATTTTCAGGAGTTCTCAAGAGCCAAGGGATTGGACCAGATCTTCGTCCCCAAACAAAGCGGTAGGAAGACAGCTCCGCCCGGTTCTGCCCGGTGACACTTTACAAGGACACACGGCATCTCGCTTCGGCCTTGTGCTCTCCGGGGCGATCGGAAGCCTTGGCCAGGGAGGGGCCTGGGGCGCCGACTGACTCCCTGCCGTCGTCTGAATCGTGTGTGTTTCCTTCTGTCCACAGACACCTGCTCCCCCGGAGGAGATCAGGGTAAGTGAGCGGCTGCAGAGGACGCCTGGGAAAATCACCCTGGAGTTAGTGGGGCTTCAGGAGGCCATCTGGTCTGTCCCCCCCAGACCTCCCCACCCCGGGCCAGGTGGGGAACTTCCTGCCCCTGGGTCATCCTGGCACCGGGCAGAGCCTGCAGATTCAGTCTCATGGAGTGAGCCCCTGGGCACTTAGGAAACCCTTCCCAGTGAGCAGGTGGGAGGCACACCTCCTGACACGCCCGTGCTCCGACCAGCAGGTGTGACCTCCCTCCTCACCCCTAAATAGTCACTGTGACTCTGTTTACCCAATGACTTGCTTAAAAGATTCAGAGATGCGGCAGCCACAGTCGGGACACTTCACCTTTCCTGGGTCTCTCGCTGGAGTTTTAGGGACTTGCCTCAGGGTCGCCTGCCCAGGCGCTGGCAGAGTCTGAATCCAGAGGGCACCCCCCTTCCTCCTTTGCCCTCCCCCATCCTTGGACTGAAGCAGGCTTGTCACACGTTCACACCCGGCCTGGGAGCCTTGGGGACAGTCCCTGGGAAGCCCTTCTGATTGTTCAGTCCAATGGCTGAGCCCCCTGTGACCCCCGACCTGCACCCCACAGCCCCCCCCACAAGCCCCCCTCCATCCCACAGTGGCTGCCCAGCCTTCCCCTGCACCCCACAGCCCCCCTGCATGTACCCTACAGTGGCCCCCATGAGCCCCCTACACCCCACAGGCCCCCCCATGAGCCCCCTGCACCCCACAGCAGTTCCCCGGCCTTCCCCACCCTGCCCTCACTTACACTCTCTCCTTCCAGGGCCGCAGGCGTGAGGACCGGCTCCACAGCAGCCCCGGGGCGGCACCACCAGGACCCTCTGTCCTGCGGGACGTGGAAGGAGCCCCCCCGCCCTCCTCGCCCCACCCCTCCTGCCTCCCTGCCCCCACCCCTCTCCTGTGCCCACATAAAGAGCTTCTGCAATCACTGCTGACCGTGCCTGTGTGTGTGGGCCCTCGGGTGGGCTGGGATCAGGGAGGGTGTGCAAGCCAGGCCAGGAGGGACGCGGGGACGCGCCGGTGTCCTGGTTCTGGGCGGTGGTGCGGCGGCCCAACGGGCAATGGGGTGTGGGCGGAGGCCTGGGGGTGCGGCTCTGCCCAAGGGTCCTGGGGGCTTCCTGCGGGGCCGGCGCCGCGGAGCTCGGGTTCTGGGTGGTCTTCGGGCTGGGGCTGGGGAAGCGAGTAAGAGTTGTCAGGCTCAGAACAAGGGGGAGAGTCCACCCCAGGTGGGGGTTTGCGGAGCCCCCCGACCCTGAGCATTGGTCTGTACCCAAGCCGCCTGTGCAGGGCAGCAGGGAGGAGGGCGGGGACAGCAGCTCAGAGCAGGGGTGGGGCTGGGGCTTGAGCTTTGTCAGGGCCAAGGGGGCCAGGCCCTGGTTGTTAGGCTGCCACACCCGCCCCCCGCCCCTCCGTCAGCTCCCTGGAGCACAGCAGGTGCGCAGATGCTCCTTCGGGGCTCTAGAAGGTATAAACGTTCCCTGAGGACCCAACACGGTGGAGCAAGACAGTGACATGAGAGGGGGAGTGGCTACTCGGCTGGGAACTTGGAGGGTGGCCGGGCAGGACCAGGCAGGGGCTGCCCTGGGGCTGGAGCTGTGGGGGCCGCTCTGGTCACGCTTGTGGGGGGGTGCTGAGCTGGGGTCCGGGCTCCCCGAGGACCGGCTGCTGACAGGCTCAGGGGCCCCCCACGCACCCGAGGGCCTCCTTGTAGTGAATGCTCTCGAGCTGGCTTGGGGCCTGGAGGGCCGTCTGGGCACGTGCGGTGTCCCGGCCGCCCAGCTCTCCTGTCCCTCAGGGCACGCTTCGTGGCATTTCTGTGGCTCCTCAGGGGGTCTCTGCGCGCAGCCCGCGGCTGGGCTGTGGCTGGAAGGCACCCTGTCGGCTTTCCCCCCCGACCCCCAGCTCAGGGCCTCCGCCTCCTCCGGCTTCCTGGGCAGTCCCAGGCCGCCTGCGGGGGCTAGCGCCTGGTCCCGGGGTGTTGGGGGAGAGCATCAATTTAAGACACTGTGTCCCTGGGGACCCCCGCCCCGTGGGGACAGAGGACGTGCTGCTGACGCAGCTCTGGGCCAAGGCTCTGGCATGGAGGGACAGCGCGCCGGGCTCCTGACGGTCCCAAGCCTGTGCCCTCAGACTGGCTGGGCTGACGGGCGGGTTGGCGCCTCTGCCCAGGCCCCAGGCATGGGGAGCCCGGCCCGCAGCACAGTGTCGCCTGCACTGACCCTCCTCCACCTGGGGTCACACCAGAGCCGCCCTCAGCACGGCCGGAGCCTCAGCGAGACCTCGGAGCTCTGTCCTGGGAACAGCGGGCTGGCCCCCGCGTCCCTGTGGGGAGGGGCATTTTGGGAGAGGGGGTGTCCCTCAGACTGGTGGTGAGGAAAGAAGAAAACCAGTGGCCGGGCCTCAGGGCTTCCGAGGGACCCGGGGACCCACAGGGACCCCAACACCCCCACTCGTTCTGACCGCGTTTCCGCCCGCCTGCAGGCTCTCGGCTTGTGAACGGGGCTGCCTGGGGCTACAAGCACACTTGACCCTGGGCATCTGCTTGGAGCTGGTGTTTTACCCCAACAGTAGAAGCCTTTTCCCCGGACAGCCATTGTCCCCTCCTCCTCGTAAGTGCCGGTCGACCTGTGTGTCCCACACAAACGGTCAGGTGTCACCCCCTCCCTGTGATGCTGACGCCCCCCAGGCAGTCCCTGAGCTGCCTGCCGCTCTGTCGCCCACAATCCTTAGTGACTACAGTTTTGCTTTTATTCGTGAAGCGTATTTCAGCAGACGGGATTCTGAGTGGGTTCCTTCTTTCAACGCTCTGCGTCTTCTGGCCCCAGGCCCTTCCTGGTAAAATGCCGCTGCCTTCCCGATGTCACATTGGCCCGCATCTCAGATTTCACATTCGGTTTTGGGGCTTCCCAGTGTCCCTCCCTTGGGGGTCTCTGACCTTTTGCATCCATCCCTTATGGTTTTTAAGAAAATGCTACCACTTTCCTGTTTCCTGTACCGACTCTCCTTCCTGGCCCCCCACCCCCCACCCCTCCTGGGAGGCAATTACCCTCGAGTTGCACTTTTTGATGTCATTTCACTGGCCCCCCGAGGCTGTTCTTTTTTTTTTTTTTTTTTTTTTTTTTTT